CGGCCAGGCGGGCATCAGCCAGCGGGATGAGGACAGTCTCCAGGGACCTGCAGTGAGAGTTCAGTGCGGGCCATGCGTCCGCCCTCCCTGTCGCCTCCAGCACTTGGCCATCTGGGTGAGGCCAGGTGCTGGGAAGCTCCTGCCTTCGCAGATACAAAGTCCAAGTGGTTTAGGATTTTGCTTGACCATTTCACTCCCTCCCAACCACTTGTTCCATAATAGACCCTAATAATTTTGTGGGAAGGACAGCCCAGGTGAGTAGCACAAAGGATGCAGAAGGAGGAATTAAGATACAGCAATTAAACACAGGGAGCCCGAGCCCACAATGCGATATTGGTCCGGCTCCAGGGGTTAAACCCTCCCTGCACTCCTGCATTTATTTCACAGCCATGGGACCAGCTCGTCCCCACCTGCCTGAGGAGGTGAGCACGGCCCAGCGAGCTCTGTGCTCAGCCCTGACCTGCAGTCAATGAGCAGCGCGTGGCCTTCCTCGCCCATCACAGATATGAACTGGTCCATGATCCCGCAGGGCATGCTGGCAAACGTGTGCTCTGCTTTCTGGCACGCCAGCGCCTTGGCTACCAAATCACCATCATCTGTTCCAGAGCAGAGAGACAGAGATGCAGGTTAGCGGCTCTGGGACCTTTGCCCCTTGCCCTGGAGCAGGGGAAGCAAACACGAAGGTAAAGGGTTGCTCTCCCATGGAACGGCGTTTTACTGAAGCATCAGCTGCAGGTGCCTGCTCCTGCACCAATGCATGGCAGCTGTGCCAGCGTGGGTCCCCAGATCAAGCTGGATGCAATGATTTGACGTCAGTGTCTCAGATATCTCTGTTTTGTGGGACATGAGCATGAGGAGAAGATGCTCCCAAGGGAACTTCTCATGGCTCCAGCCAGCCCCAGGCTTGGTCCATGGGCTTTAGAGGCATGGGCAGGTCAGTCTGGGTGAGCCGGAGGAGCCCCACAGCTCCGGCTGTGTCGGGGGCTTGTGACTTGCCCCACAGAGGCATTTCCCCAAGGGCTGCAGGGGGCATCACCCTCATCCCAGCTCCCACCCCGGAACAGAGGCTCCAGGGGAC